CAGTCCTAGAGCTTGTAGCAGGGTACTTTGTCAAATGCACATATAAGGCAAAAGAAGCAAATTGTGCTTACACGTATGGTGGTACAAACAAACATACAAGCACCTAGAGACAAGCACACCTAATGCACATACACATATAGACCATATTTATATTCTACACTAACCGTTATTAAAAGATTACTTTTCCTGTGTGGGGGTTACGAGGCCTTATTGTCAGGGAAAACCAGAATAGACCCCCTGCCTCCCCAACAAGCATGTCGTTGGAGGTGAGTAATTTGGGTGGGGTGGGCTTTCTTTAAAGTCGGAGTGCATCTGCCTGAGACGCAAGGAACAAACAGTTTGTTTACAAATAAGCAAGATCTGTAAAACGGATACACACGTGAAATTCATATCCTGGAATAAAGCTGAAGACCAGAAATGGACGAACAACCGCCGAGGTTTACAGCCAGTGAACGAAAACAAGCAACAAAAGATCACCTGGCCTGCTATGAGGCATCTTATCATCATTAGTTTGCACTCCTGTCGTTAAGCTGGGAAAAGGGGAGGGCGGCATTTTGCGATCTGCTGATTGATGGGCAGCAATAGCTATAGCCTTGGTAAAACACCACATGCAGCAATTACTATGTTATGTCTCTCAATCACAATTCTAACGCCCATGTACAATCTCACCTTCCAGAATGGGAGCTTTCGGATTCCTATATCTGGCCAGTGAGGAGTCTCCAGGGAACATGGCTTTAGAGGACGCGGCCTTGGCCTTAAGTTGGGTCAAGAACAATGTGGCCTCGTTTGGAGGAGATGACATGAAGATTACCATATTTGGCAACAGCGGCGGAGCAGTTATTTCTTCCCTGTTCTTGTTGTCCCCAAGAACACGAGATTTGTTTAACAACGCCATCATTCAGGTACTTTCATCTGATAATTCTCATTGTGCAGGTTTCATCCTCGTTATCTTTGTCTTCGTTATTATTGCTATTAAAATCACAGTTATCAAAACTTAGTTAAAACATCAATTATGGTCATCGCCGAGAAATAAAAAAAGTGTGAAATACGGGCAAACGGAAAAGTTCTTAAGCAAATTATTAGATACAGTCAAAACATCTAATTCAAGATAATCTGCAGAAAATAGAACAAGAATCGCCATGGGAAATGTTGACTTTAGCCAGACGGAAAAGATACTCACCATAAAAAGATGACATCACAGTAAAAACAAAATTGCATCTTCGATGAGATCACCCAATGGCTGACCAGTGAACGACTTCGTCGCCAGTCGGGACAGAATTAGGTTCTGTCTCCTTTCATCGCATCAACACTACAAGAGTCCTTTTTAGGGCTACTTGTTGGCCAGCAATATTAAGCCATTTAATATGACGCAAATAACCTAAGTCACAATTATAACCAAAAGCTCTCCCTTCGGGAATTCTGGTTGAACGTAACGATTTAAAAAAACAACGATGATGATGAGTTACAAATATGGTGTTGAAATGCTCTATAGAAACTGCGCTTTTATATGCACGTGAGACATACACAAAAACAAAGCTGAAAAAATATTGACTGGCGGCGGAGATGTGGTTTTTGAGAAGTATGCAATGAATTTAAGGGAGTGATAGAAAATCAAACGATGTAGACCACACCGAGACAGATTAGAGTCGTGAACTGATCACAAACCTTAGGCCATGGCAGTCGGTGGTAACTGAAAACAAATCTTAGACGAAAGCAGTTGGTGTTTTTCTAACATGTCATGGACAGGAATGGACTCCGGAAATTAATAACATTGTAATAAATCTATCCAAAGTTTAGAGGCGTGTAATATGTTTAAGATTTGGTTATATCGTCCATTATACTTGAACAATGGCCAAAGCTAATCTTGAGCATTTTTGGATACTATTCTATAGATAAGTTTTGAATTCCTGGCAATAGTCGTTTATGAAGCTGTAAAAACTTAAGACCTACACACACACACACACACACACACACACACACACACACACACACACACAAACACGCACTGGTACACGCACGTCTGCACACACGCACACACGCGCGAGCTCGAAATGTTTCTTCCATGATTATAACTGACTAACAAATACGTAGGTGTACAGCTCTTCTTTGAAGTGCTTCAGGTGATTTGATGACTGACCTGGAAATGCCATCCCATATTGATGAGCAATAGTCTAGATAGTGGAGGTATAGAAACACTTTCTGGAGTTCTCATCAAAAACAGTTATAATTTGTGTGAGCTGGTTTTACATTTTGTTTAGCTAAATATTGTTAGGGGCCAGGGCTTAGACCTGGCTTTTAGTTTTGTTTCATTGAGGTGGTGTGTGTGTGTGTGGGGGGGGGGGGGAGGGGGGTTAAGCTCAGGGTGCATGAGCTTCCAGGGTCTGGCTCCTCCACCCTCAAAGTAATTATAAAATCTCCAGATCTGAATTTCTGCCCCCTCGATGTGGGCGGGGAGGGTGGGGGAGAGTGGGGGGAGGGTGGAGGAGGGTGGAGGAGGGTGGAGGAGGGTGGAGGACGGTGGGGGAGGGGGCAGAGAGATTTAATGGTAGGTTGAAAATAGTAATCTGTGAAAATATATCCACTGTGAATATATACCATTTTTGGTTTTCTGACCTGTCTGCCTCTTCATCAGCAGCTGGCTTCTGCTCGTACCTTGCTATGCCAGGAAGATGTGAGTAATTTGTGAACAGCCGTACCTTGCTATGTCAGGAAGATGTTAGTACTTTGTGGATAGCCGTACCTTGCGATGCCAGGAAGATGTCAGTATTTTGTGAACAGACGTACCTTGCGATGTCAAGAAGATATCAGTAATTTGTGGACAACAGTACCTTGCGATGTCAGGAAGATGTCAGTAATTTGTGGACAGCGGTACCTTGCTATGTCAGGAAGATGTCAGTAGTTTGTGGACAGCCGTACCTTGCGATGTCAGGAAGATGTCAGTAATTTGTGGACAGTCGTACCTTGCGATGCCAGGAAGATGTCAGTAATTTGTGGACAGCCGTATAAAAAAAGTAAGATTCTTTCGTAAAAAGTCACCCCCCCCCCCCCCCCAGATGACGTCACGGGGAAGGTTCTATTTTTTAAAGGGGGATACGATCGGGTTTCCCGGCTTTGTGGTGCTTTACCCACCCCACTACATTTAGAACTGGACCTAACCTCAACTCACCTACATCCTACGAGAGATTGCAGCCTAGGTCCCACGACTGCATGCAAACTATCTACCACCCCCTGAAATAGTGGACTGTCTGTTTGAGGTGACTTATTACAAAAGCACCAAAAGAAAAAATGTAAACGACCCTTTTCTATGCCTTTAGCTATTTTGGACACATAGGGCTAGACCTATTTCTTAAAGACATATCGGCACTCAGTGGGTCATGTAGTCAACATCACACCGACCGAGTTTACTTCCCGTGACTTTACCTGATAGGCATTTAAGACATGGTCGACAAAGGAGCCGAGACTGTTTTTGAATAACGTCTGGTTCCGTCAGGACCTGAACCTACCACCTTCAGACAGTCGGCTCCTTACAGAGGGATTAGTGGCACATTTGTTTCGGTACACCTCTCCTTCCCACAGAGTATCGTTCCTGTCAAGCTCTTCCACCAGACCCAGGAGTCGGCCCAGAACACGGCGCTGGAGCTGGCCAGGAGGCTGAACTGTTCCTCTGACAACACAACGGCAATTATCCACTGTTTGAGGCAGGTCAGTGTGGGTCAGGGATGGCACCGTTAGATCAGCTGTTATGTTGTTTCGTTATGTAGATATATCATATTTATGTAGTTTTGTTCCCCTGGATACGTGTATAGACAAGATCCAGTTTGTAGAGTGTTGTATAACATGTATCAGAGTGCAGAGTGCTGTACAGACAAGATCTAGATTATAGAGTGTTGTAAAAACAAGTGTCAGATTGAAGAATGTTGTATAGACGTGTGTCAGATTGAATAGTGTTGTATGGACAAGTGTCAGATTGTGAAGTGTCCTATAGACATGCGCTAGATTGTAGAGTGCTATATAAAGATCCAGTTTGCAGAGTGTTGTATAGACAAAATCCAAATTGTACAGACAAGATCTAGATTGTAGATTGCTGTATAGACACGTATCTGATTGTAGAGTGTTGTACAAATCTCCAGTTTGCAGAGTGCTGTATAGACAAGTGTCAGATTGTAGAGTGTTGTCTAGGTAGGATCCGATTTGGAGTGTTGTGTAGACAGGTTGTCAGATTATAGAATTTGAACAAAAAAGGCACAAACAATAGATTGCACAATTTATTGCCTGGCATATTTCTCTGTATCTCGTCAGGTGCATACCACAGTAACAATTACATAAATAAAGCAAATAAGTGAATCCTTTATAACTGAAGTAAAATTTAAACAACAATCAAACATGACTGCCTGTTTTTACCAGGGCAGCCGTAAAGAAAGAACCATGTCCTACCTTCCCACAATTAGACAACACAAAATGTCCATGTAGCTGCCTTTTCTGAAACGATGTCTTCCCTTCCCACAACTAGACAACACACAATGTCCAAGTAGATCCTATTCTGAAACGATCCCCTCCCTTCCCACAACTAGACAACACAAAATGCCCACCTAGCTGCCTATCCTGAAACGATGTCCTACCTTCCCACAACTAGACAACACAAAATGCCCACCTAGCTGCCTATTCTGAAACGATGTCCTACCTTCCCACAACTAGACAACACAAAATGCCCACCTAGCTGCCTATTCTGAAACGATGTCCTACCTTCCCACAACTAGACAACACAAAATGCCCACCTAGCTGCCTATTCTGAAACGATGTCTTCCCTTCCCACAACTAGACAACACACAATGTCCAAGTAGATCCTATTCTGAAACGATCCCCTCCCTTCCCACAACTAGACAACACAAAATGCCCACCTAGCTGCCTATTCTGAAACGATGTCCTACCTTCCCACAACTAGACAACACAAAATGCCCACCTAGCTGCCTATTCTGAAACGATGTCTTCCCTTCCCACAACTAGACAACACACAATGTCCAAGTAGATCCTATTCTGAAACGATCCCCTCCCTTCCCACAACTAGACAACACAAAATGCCCACCTAGCTGCCTATTCTGAAACGATGTCCTCCCTTCCCACAACTAGACTACACAAAATTCCCGTGTAGCTGCCTATACTGAAATGATGTCCTCCATTTTTTTACAACCTTCCACAGGCGAGTGCTGCTGACCTTGCCCAGCAACACCTGCTTATGACCTCAAACTTCCAATACTTCATGGTTACCGTCACAGATGGTTCCTTCCTGACCAAGGACCCTCTCGTCTCCTTGTTGGCTGCAGGTAGGAAATCTGTCTGTCTGTCTGTCTGTCTGTCTGTCTGTCTGTCTGTCTGTCTGTCTGTCTGTCTGTCTGTCTGTCTGTCTGTCTGTCTGTCTGTCTGTCTGTCTGTCTGTCTGTCTGTCTGTCTGTCTGTCTGTCTGTCTGTCTGTCTGTCTGTCTGTCTGTCTGTCTGTCTGTCTGTTTGTTTGTCTGTCTGTCTGTCTGTCTGTCTGTCCGTCCGTCTCTCTGACTGACCCTATACCATGTCTGTATCCCTTGTTGACTGGAGGTAGACAATCTGTCTGTCTGTCTGTCTGTCTGTCTGTCTGTCTGTCTGTCTGTCTGTCTGTCTGTCTGTCTGTCTGTCTGTCTGTCTGTCTGTCTGTCTGTCTGTCTGTCTGTCTGTCTGTCTGTCTGTTCCATCTCTGCATCACTTGTTGATCTTGAGGTAGGCAGTGTGCCAAATAAAACTCATTGTAGATGTATATACCCGTCTGGATACATGCAACCAAAAACACTGGCTGTGTACAAATATCACACATCATCACTGAACACACGAAGCCATACATACATACACCTGAGGTCACAGACAGTCACATACACATATGAACCCACATACACGTGCATTTTGTGCATGTACAAAATTACTTGGCAGCTGGGAATCGAAAAGAGTTGCCTAACTGCGCTTCCCTGGCAAAATTTGGAGTTATAATCTACTAGAGTAGTTGCGGATCCTAGCCTGTGCTACTGAGTTTGTGCACTACGAGGAGATTCTTCGAACTCAGGCTTGAGTTAGAAGTAGAACAGAGCACTTATGAGGTACTAACCTTGTGCTATTATGATGATCCTTTGTTCAAACCATACCAAACGGAAACACATAGCTCGAAACCACGACTTGGCTACATGATAAAAGTGAAAAACACTCGCATATTTCTGTACACATGCCCACACTCTCCTGTGCGCACGCGTGCACACACATACACCATTTATATATACCATTTATATATATATATATATATATATATATATATATATATATATAATATATATATATATATATATATATATATATATATATATATATATATATATACTGGAATCACCATATAGAAGAGTGAATACATGAAACCACACGTGCAGGTACATCCACGTAAATTATCTTTCTCACATAACGTCTAGTTACTTCTACATAAATGTCTAGTTACACGAGTTTGTAAGTCATGTCTATATACAAACCATGTCTGTTTATGACTAACGACTCCGGGCAGAGAAGGGCATTCGGGGGAGAATACAAGCCTTATAATAGAAGGAGGGTATGGTAGGTGAGAACGTAATCTTAGTGCAGGACAGACCGGGCCCCTAACCTTGGCTGGCAGCTGGTCTAGGAGGGAAGCTTGGTCAGGCAGACAGACAGAACAATATTTGTATGATCCGCTAGCTTCAACTACAGAAACAATAAAACAATAAGAAATAAGAAGAAACTCCACAGGGGAGCATGTACAGCAGGGGTTTACCAATCATCTGTAGAAGTAATCTCTCGTCGACAAATGTTTCGGCCCACGAGCTCCTAGACATTTTCAGAGAGTGGGCCCACCTGAGGTCATGAGGCTCAGGGTTGGTTTCCCCTGCTGCACGAATTACCGGATGTTGATCGGATAGGGACAAGTCGAATTGGTGATTTTGTAGAAGGTACTGTGAGATAAGAAGTCGTCGCGGTAGCATAAGTAAAGCAGTCTGCATACCTGAAACGACCGAGCGGCAAGCTTATGATTGGTATACCGGACACATGTTGGAATTTTGTTAGCAGGTGTTATCTAAAGAAAGACTTCAACCTTCCCTTTCTGCAGACTTTAAACGCTGCGACATCCTCACCGGATCTGCTGGAGATGAAGGCAGTTTCGTTTTGCCCCTGCTATCAGCAGACTACAGCCTGCGCCGGCCAGACCCCCCTGAAAATCTCACAGACCAGGTCAGTTGACTGAAAATGCTTTTTACCAGGGCAGCTGTAAATACAGAACCATCTCTTTCTGAATACAGAGCTCCGGGCGCAGGTGACGAATCGTGGAAGCTTCGATAAATCTTAGCGTTCTGCCATTGGTTGACGTATAAGGGATTTTAAATGCGTTGCATTTAGTCACCACGTGTTCAGATTTTAGAAGATGGCGTGCTATTGCAGAGAGGTAATCTTTCCAGCCACTATTCTCATTTTCAATATTATGTTGCATGCCCCCCCACCCCCCACCGCGATTCGTCGTCACCTGCGCCCGGAACTCTGTATTCAGAAAGAGATGGTTCTGTCTTTTACGGCTGTCCTGGTAAAAACAGGCAGTCATATTGATCGTTGTTGAAATTGTTCTTCAGTTATAAAGGATTCACTTATTTGCTTCATTTATGTAATTGTTACTGTAGTATGCACCTGAGGAGATACAGCGAAATATGTCAGGCAATAAATTGTGCAATCTATTTGTTTGTATCTTCTGTGTTCAAATTTACAATGAGAAAACATTGCTTTGAATTTCTTAAAATGCTTTCTATCGTATTATTTTATATGCCAGTAGTCGAGGTTTCAGCGTCTCTGCATAGCTGCTATACAGCTCCACTACATAATGAGGGCCACCTCATTATTGCTCCGTCCATGTGCCAGTAAAAATCTACAAAATGCCCTTCGCTGATCTGTTTTAAAACTGCTGAGCACATAAATTAATGCCGGCATAATCCAGAAGCCTACATATGCATTAAATGCATGTACATTTGTTAGGAATGCCAACACCAACAATTCTTTGCTAGAATTGCAGTTCATGATCGATTAGAGTGGTCAGCCACGATAAGCTGGCAGCAGCACAGTCAACATTATTGCGTAAGGCGCTTCTCATTTGCGGACGCAAACCAGCTACACTACACACGCCATTTTATGAAAATCATGTCACAAACCACTGCTCGCACAGACGAAATACAATTAAAAAAAAAAATATACACAGCTCGCAGTTTTGACCAAGCAGTCAGCTTAATAGACGAGCAATGAAACTAAGAATTGTATTTTGTATATTGGAATATGCTTCAGTAGCTCCTGGCAAGTTGCAAATAACAACTCATGGTCTTTCCGGATCGCCCGCCTATCCACCATTAACACTTATTGTGACACAGTTGATCTTTTACATCTCCCCAGGAATAGATGTGCCTAGTTCGGAACATAGTGTGTGATGGATACAGTTTGTAGCTCTCTTGAATCGTACTCAACAAAAAGGCCAGTGATGTAACAAACGACTACAAAGGAGTTTGTTTATTAACAATATTGTCAAGTCAAGCAGTACGAATAATTTCACCAACCAATAGTATAGTAACACTTCATTATCTTATTGTTGGCTATTCATATATCTGATGATAAGTTATTTAATCCCTCTTCTATCAAAGCAAAACCATAGTTTAATATCTATTTCTTCTAGCGAAGCACAGCTCTAGTTTTCTATGTCATCTCGCCAAGTTCTTGTCAACTGCCCCCGCAAGCGTCTAGGCACTGACTGTCCCTCACTCCCCTCGTTCCTCTGCTCTTCATCCCCGCTTCCTCTCTCTTCCTGGCGTTGGTTCTCAATCACCGTCTGTCACCCTTCATCCTGCTCTATGTTATCTTCTTTGGGTGGTCACGTGCATTCCGCGCTGCTCTCGAGCACTGGTCGACCTCATTCTCCCTCGTGCATCTTCGTGGTGGTCGTCTACGCCTACATCCGTCACTGTCAGATGTCACAGCTTTATTTGTGTAAACGTACTCTATTCAACCCTGGTCACAGTGTTCCTGTTCCTACGTACTTTCCCAAAGTTACTGGTTTATCTGTTTGGCCTTGTTTGACCAGGGTTCTAATCACCGTTTTTTATCATGCCACCCAGTGATGGATTGGCATGCATTGATGCTGGTCTGAATGTATGCATTCTTCATTTAACCCCTTCCTGAACTATATTTCATGACGTTATAAGCTACCATTCATTGCTTGGGTTGTATTATTGCGGTCAGTCTACCGTCCTTACTGTAATCAATGTCTAGTCTTGTTACCGCAATCAATGTCTAATCTCATTACTTCAGTCACTGTCTAGCCTCATCACTGGAATCATGGTCTAGTCTCATTAATGCAGTCACTGACTAATCTCATTAGTTCAATGACACTGTAGTGTCATTTTAGTCACTGTCTTATCTAATTTCTTTAGTCACTTTCTAGAGTCATTACTGCAATCACCGACAGGCGATATCAGCAGCAGGAATTTCAGCAGCAGCGACATACTGAAGGTGAATAACACGCACACACACACGCATACACTCATGCACAAATCATCTGCATGCACCGTACACTGGGTTGAACAGGGTGCTTCAGGAGTGTCTTTCATACATCCAGCTTACAACGTGTGCTTCTTACATGCGACCTTCTGTTTCAGGGATTCGAACAGACGCTAGCGGCACCGCTGTCTCTGATCTATAAACCGGAAGTTATTCCTGAAATTGTGGAGAAGGTCAAAATTATTTACAATCTTGATGAGTTACGGTCCCAGGTCACAGACCCCACGCTCAGAGTCCTTATTCAGGCCATTGGAGACCTAGTGTATGTGTGCCCAATTCGTCTGCAAGCAGCCATCATCGCCAACGCCAGCCAGAACGTGTATCTGTATTCCTTCAATCACCCCCGAGACAACACCACCTTGCCACGATGGATCGGCGCCACCCATACCTCGGAGGTCTCGTTTGTGTTCGGAACCACGTCACGTGACCTCCTAGCTTTCTCAACAAGAGAACGTCTACTTAGCGCCAAAATCATGCGCTTGTGGGCAAATTTTGCTAACTATGGGTAAGTTATTCTTCACACACGTAGTCTATATTGTAACTTCACTGTCACGCATGTTATCTGCATGTTTACGTTTTCACTTCATTCATGTTGTCTTTATTGATGAATTATCCTCCACACATAATATCTGTACAGATGAATTATCCTCCCCACATGATGTCTGTATTGATGAATTATCCTTTACACATGTTGTATATATTGATGAATTATCCTCCACTCATGTTGTCTGTATTGATAAATTATCTCGGTACCACTGTCGAAACCAACACAAGACAAATCGTCCGCAGCTGGGATCAAAGCCGGCCCACCAGCATTACAAGGTGCGTTCGCAACGCCCGAGCCACAGACGCCGACACACTTGAACGCTCACCTAAACTGCTTCACAAGATCCAAGACTGTATTTGATATCTTCTTACAAGTGTATGTTAACTTTTTTTCCCCGGAAACCACCGTGGTGTAGCGACTAGACGCACGACTGCGGATCTAAAGGTCGTGGGTTCGGATCCTGACGAAGCTGGCTATTTTTCTAAAACGATTTTAATTCCTAGGTGACCTAGTTTTAAAGGATACCAGGTAAATGAACTGGGAAGTAAAGGCAGCCGACATGACGCTGACGACATCAGCCACTGAGAGCTGATTGGTATCAAATATATAGAGATAGCCCTATATGGCCAATGTGGGTTCTAGGGCCCCAATGTGGGGGAAAACAAGAATAGATGAGCCAGACCTGTGAAACGGATGTACACGCAACACTCATGTTCTGGAACAGGACCGGAGTCCAGAAGTGGACGAACAACCAGAACTTTGATTTCCAGGTTGACCTAGCTTTAAAGGGTACCAGGTAAACGTCCCGGGAAGTAAAAGCAGCCGACATGACGCTGACCACATCACCCACCGAGAGCTGATTGGTCTATAAATATAGGTCTAACCCTATATGCCCAATACTCTCGAAGTCATAGAAAAGGTCATTTACTGAAACCTAATTTCCTCTGTTCCACACTTTGTATTTTTATTCTTGTTGCAATTGTAGAAACCCGACCCCAGGAGCCAAAGACACGCCCAGATGGCCGACATACTCACCCCCGGACCCAGCAAGGATCCTGGTGTTTACAGAGTCTGCAGACGTCACAGTTGGCCTCACAGAGAGCTCACGGTGTGCCTACTGGAACAGTCTGCCTCCCAGTTACTTCTTAAACTGAGTCCCAGGCTCATTGAATAGAACACAGGGATAATCAAATAAACTGACTCGGGGGCCAGCATTGCATTGTTGCAAATGGAAATCGCCACGGGTTTTGTTGACAGTATACCCAACTGCTCCTCGTCAGACCCTCGCTTGGCTTATCTCTGGTTCAAATTTTCTTTGCATATTCTGATTCTTGCAATTTGTCTGCTTGTGTCAATGTTTTAAAATCATCAGTGCTGAGTAATTTCTGATTCTGTGTCTTTTTGTTCTTCTTCAAATTTAATTTAATTTTCGATGGACATTACCATTTTTTTTTGTTCATATCACGTGATAAGCTCGCCTGTGGATTCGAAAGTTCGTGGGTTAGAATTTGAAAGCAGCTGCACTTTTTCAAATTTGACCTTGGCTTCCTGCTCTAGCCAGCCTTAAATGGGTACCAGGGAAAGTCCTTGACTGCAAAGACGACCAGCGTGATACTGACTGTATCACCAACCAAGTGCCGATTAGTCTATGAAATATAGGTCTTGCTCTCTCTCTCTGCCCAGTACTACTGAAGGTATGGAAAAGGGTCTTTTAGATGTGATAAGATTGACGTGGAATATGGGTTATATTCCCCAACACAATTCTAGGTATTAAAGGATGAGGTGAGAAAGTCAGAATGACTGAGGTTTAACAGATACTTTTTCACGCCCATTAGTGGCGTTTTCACTAACTACCCAGCAGACTGCAAGGTGCCGTGGTCCGGCAGATAACGAACATGTTCTCAACAAACTAACGATACAACGTTCATTGCATTACATGTAATAGTTGTTAGATGTGGTGTATACCATAAAACATAAACAATAGCCACATTTGGCACTATATCAAGCAGAAAAATACGCTAGGACAACTAGTGGCTGGAAACTCGACACTGTAGCACAGCATCAGAGGGACAAATACACTGGGACATCTAGTGGCTGGAAACTCGACACTGTAGAACAGAGAGACAAATCAGGGACATCTAGTGGCTGGAAAAATAGAACAGCATCAGAGAGACAAATACACTGGGACATCTAGTGGCTGGAAACTCGACATTGTAGAACAGCATCAGAGAGACAAATACACTGGGACATCTCGTGGCTGGAAACTCGACACTGTAGCACAGCATCAGAGGGACAAATACACTGGAACATCTAGTGGCTGGAAACTCGACACTGTAGCACAGCATCAGAGGGACAAATACACTGGGACATCTAGTGGCTGGAAACTCGACACTGTACACAGCATGTAGGGACACTAGCAAACTCACAGTAGCACAGCAAATACACTGGGACATCTAGTGGCTGGAAACTCGACACTGTAGCACAGCATCAGAGGGACAAATACACTGGGACATCTAGTGGCTGGAAACTCGACACTGTAGCACAGCATCAGAGAGACAAATACACTGGGACATCACGTGGCTGGAAACTCGACACTGTAGCACAGCATCAGAGAGACAAATACACTGGGACATCTCGTGGCTGGAAACTCGACACTGTAGAACAGCATCAGAGACACAAATACACTGGGACATCTGGAGATTGGAAACTATATTTAACTAGTTCCTGTAGTACACCCGAGGCAAACCGTTCCAGTAGGCACACCGTGAGCTCTCTGTGAGGCCGACTCGGATGTCTGCGGACTTTGTAAACACCAAGATCTTTGCCGGGTCTGGGGGTGAGTATGTCGGCCATCTGAGATTGTCTCTGACTCTTGGGGTCGGATTTCTGTTTAAAAAAAAAAAAAAAAAAAAAAATAAAAACCAACACACATGCGGAAAGTATTCAAGAACAAGTATTTGACCGGGCGAACATTAACACTAGTGACAAGGCAACCAAGAGATGACCATGATTGACAATATTCCAAGAGCGCGGGACGTGTAGGACGCTCCTCCTCCGCAGGAAGTATGAGACGTTCTTACTCCACTGGAGGTATAGGACGTCCTTGCTCCACAGGAGGTATGGTAGGTTGTTGCTCCACAGAACGTATAGCCACAGAACGTATGGGACGTTCTTGCGGCGCAGGAGGTATATGACATTCCTGCTCCACATGATGTATAGGAAGTTCTCGCTCCGCATAACGTATAGGACGTTATTGCTCCACAGGAGGTATGGGACGTTATTGCTCCACATCGCGTACACGATTTTCTTGCTGCATATATGGTATAGGACGGTTTTGCTTCACACAAGTAGATCCTTTTCTTTCTCCACAGGAAGTATAGGACGTATTGCTCTACAAGAGGCAGAGGACGTTTTTGCTCCTTGGGAGGTAGAGAACGAGTTAGATTGAGAGCTCTCCTGTACCACGGGCATTCACAGGAGGTAGGGGGCACCTCTCTACGCCATAAGGCCTCTTGCATATATGATGCTAACTCTTTGTTTGCATACACCAGGTTATTCGATAGCTAACTGCAGTCAATGTCAAGCCTGCGACCTTAGCTTTCCATGATATTTCCATAATATATTTCTTAGAAGACGGTGTAGTTTCAGAATTTGCTTTCCTCATCATTTTAGTTCTGAACACCATTGATGTAACAACAAGAACAGACCTATTTTAACCTAATAAGCATGTCGTAAAAATAGACTAATTTGGGGTATTTCCTTCAGAGTCGGGGTGCATCTGCTCCAGAGGTGAGAAACAGACAATCTGCTTGCATATAAGCCGGATCTGTAAAACGGATGTGCACTCAAAACTCAAGTTCTGGAACGAGGCTAAAGTCCAGAAGTGGATGAACGACCAAAACTTTTGCCAGTTTACAGGTGGTGAAGGCAAAGAACAAGTAGAAGAATCTACCTTTCAGATTTGTAGATTCGAACACATGACAGACTGACTGGCGAACGTGCTAGTCACTATGCCATCGCGACTTCCCAAAAGTAGAATGACGAGAAGGCATGCAGTATAACCAGTATAGACTAGATGACATGTAACATGACATGTATAGACTAGATGACATCTAGCACAACAAGTATAGACTAGATGACAGGTAGCATGAGAAATATAGACTAGATGACATGTAGTATGGCAAGTATAAACTAGATGACATCTAGCCGGAGAAATGTAGTCAAGATGTCAAGATGGTGTTCAGCATAAGAAGTGTATATAAAATTTTTTTTTAAAAATCTTCACACAAAACAAAGAAAATGCCGAAGTTCACAGGAAAGTCCAATGTTCTAGGGATTGGGGTTAAGGCTAGGGTTATGATCTTTGTCACCCATGACCACCTTAGAGACACTGACTAACCCTAACCCTAACACTAACTCTAACCCTAGCCCTATTCCTAACCATAGCCCTATTCCTAACCCTAGCCCTATTCCTAACCCTAACCCTATTCCTAACCCTAGCCCTATTCCTAACCCCAGCCCTATTTCTAACCCTAGCCCTATTCCTAACCCCAACCCATAAAACCCGTAGAATATTGGACTATTCCGGGAGCTGCCAAATTACATTTAGTTTGGGGTGTATTAAATATAAAGTACCGATAAGATTACGTGCAACATGAGAGGTATAGATAGGAATAGGTGTCGCATGGAAAGTATAGACGAGAGGATAGTAGATGCCAGAGGCAACCTATACAAAATGTCGGGCAACAGGAGACGATAACACCAACAAATAACTCGCCCAAACTTGGCAAAACTGGCCCAAAAGCTCATGATGTTTCGGTGCAGTTTGACCTCCCTCGAAGAAAAAACTGGCCAGGCTGGAATGGTGGTCCCGAAGACAAAGGGAACATCAGTGCCATGGGTGGCACCCACCCAGTCGGCGAAGGTGGTAATGTCGCGGACGTGCTCCATTAGGTACAGGTAGGATTTCTGTTTGGCTTGAGCGTAAAACGTTGCCAGCAAACGACCAGGACAATCAAAGATTAGGTCAGTAAATAGAGAGTTCAGCAACGAAAAGCTTGGGTTATTGTCTTCTTCTTGAAGTCTATGGTAGTCGTAGAGTTCTAGGACTTTGACAATAATAGCAGGGATAAATTCTGGTCTAAACACCCACGGCAGTGACTGTGTCAGCATCTCTGTCAGTTCCTGAAATAGATCATCGGATGACATCTCACAGTGGCATTCATCACACAGTCACATATCAATAGTATACACTGACAATCATCTCTGTCACAGATGGCACCATAATATCCCAAAGTGACATTTCTTGCACAGATATACGATATTCTATAGCGAAATTTATTTCATAGACATATATCATCAGTAGTAGAGGGGCTGCCTGGTCTCGAGGCATGCTGTCCGCCTCGAGTGCTGGAGTTCGAACGAACAAACGAACGAACTTTATTTTCAAAGGGTTAAGAATTGGGCACACAGGTCCGTCCTAAATTCTGCCCGGCCTCATGCCATGCATACATTATTCATGCACACATTGTTTCAGCATATAATAATAATAATAATAATAATAATAATTATGGTAATAATAGGCATCATCAACAACATATTTGTAACAATGTACTCAAAGTATGCCTACATTTTAAAATAATTATAATACTAAATATAATAAATCTTGGCGGAAATCAACAGTATTCTTAGGAAACCATTATCTTCTAAGGGAGCATGTATTCTGTAGTGAGATAATATTCAAAAAGCTTCCAGTTGTATTTATAGGGTTTGTTGATATTTTTGATTGGTTGTGGAAGTTGGTTCCACAGATGAACTGCAGAGTACGCCAAGCTTGTTTTGTACAAGGCTATTCTAGGTTTAGGGATGTGTAATATGTTTAGGCGTTTGCTATGTCACCCATTATCCTTAAAACCCAGAGGTAATCTGGAGCATTTTTTAAATAAGATTTTGTGAATAACTTTGGCCTTATAGAGAAGTCGTTTATGGAAGGGTAGTAACTTAAAATCTGTATGTACACTGGAACTGTCTCTTCCATGAATATTACTGACTAAGCGTACAGCTCTTTTTTGAAGTGCTTTAAGTCGTTTCATGACTGAACTTGAAAAACCATCCCATATTTTTTAGCAGTAGTCTAGATGGGTCTGAATATGGGAGGTATAGAATATCCTTCTGGTGTTTTCATCTAGAAAGTGTTTACTTTTTGCAAGCTGATATACTTTTTTAGCTGTTTGTTTCACTAGAGCTTGCACCTGAGAAGTGAAGGTTAAATTGCTATCAATAATTACGCCTAAAACGCTGTACTCAGTTACACATTCTACTGGGTTGTTACTGATGTAGAGTTAAAGAGTATTATGTGCAGATAAAGAATACAGCTTTTGTCTTGGTGATATTAACACGCATTTGGTTTTACTAATGTTTACTTGCATGCCCCAGGAAACAACATTGTTTAATTTCTGTTGTAAAGATGACTTTAGTAGAATATCACACGTTTGAGCACCTGTACAGACTATACAGTCATCTGCAAATAAGTCACACGGCGACGACAGACATAAAGGAAGATCATTTATATAAATGGCAAATAACAGAGGGCCAAGAATAGAGCCCTGGGGTACTCCAGTATTCACCACAGTAGTCTGCGACAGGGATTTATTATATTAAACTACCTGTTTCATATTTAAGAGAAAGGATCTTAATAAGGGTAATATATTACAATTGAAGTTTATTATTTACAGTTTTCTAATAAGGATTGTATGGTCTATCGTGTCAAAGGCTTTTCTAAAGTCTATAAACACGCACCCAGCTATCTTATCTTCGTTAATATTCTGATGCCAGTTTTTTGTCATGTTTGTTAAAGCTGTATGGCACGAATACTTTGGTCGAAATCCTGATTGGTTATCAATTATAAGTTTGTTATTATCTAGATGTTGGAGTTTTTTTTTTTTTTTTTGTGAATGTGTTTTTCTAGCGGTTTTGATAATGATGATAATAAGGAGATGGGTCTATAGCTGCTTGGGAGACTACTGTCCAATGAGAAATATTTAAAATGTACATATGCTTTGGCAATTTTAAAGGCTGAAGGAAAATAGCCTTTGGCAAGACACTGGTTACATAAAAAAGTTAACAACTCGCAAACAACTGTTGCAGCACACCAAAGGATCCTATTGCTGATTCCATCTAAACCTTGAAGCATTATTGCTTTTTAGACTGGTGAGATATGTAAATAAAGGCTAGAATTTTTTCACGTGGACTTTTAGTAATTTTCTCTGGTCTCTGGGTAGTAAGATCGGACGCCCGTGTGTATTGTTGCTCACGTAAAAAAAAAAAATCCTTTGATAGTTGGAAATCGAAAAGAGTAGCCTAGCGGTGCCACTCTGGCAAAATTTTGAGTTAAAAATCTACCTAAAGTATTTCAGGATCCTCGCCGGTGCGCTGAGATTCTTAGGACTCAGACTTGAGTCAGAAGTAGAACGGAGCACTTATGGGTCCGCACCCTAGTGCCATGATGTTGATCCGTCGTCTAAACCTATATCATAAGTAGATGGCATTCCACGAGGAAATCCTTCTTCTTCTGATTATAGTCCATGCCGTGTAGTGTTGGTAGTCATGTCTATCCATAACCTTAACTTGTTGTGTACTTTCTATCATTTCTCACACAGACGATATTCCATGCCACGATGTCAGACTGCCCAGTATCTTCTATCTTGGTCGCCCTCTGTCACCTCCCCCTCCTCCTCTACCACTGTCACAATGGACTCCTGTTTATTTGTTCTCATGGCATGACCGCAGAACGTAGATTGTCTCCCCCTGATGTGGGCAATAGGTTCTCTTCGGGAGACCGTTTGTTTCAAGTCATCTTCATTACTCTTTTTATGTGTCGAGAGTATAATGATCGTTCGTCTATAAGACATCTCCGCAGCTTCCAAATGACTGTCTGACTGACTTCCTACCCCACCAGGACATCACACAAGCGACAAACACCCGATGACACAAAGTGCCACCATGCGGATGAGGATCGCCGTGGAGAGTTCCCAGAAACCGCGTTCAGACAATTGGCCAAATTTATGGCCTGCCTATATTACGGCCCCTGACAAAAGCCGGGGTGGGGCTTCAAATAAAAAAAAATTTCGTCCTAAAAAGGACTAAAATGACCAGTTTAGCTTCCAAATAATGGTCAGAACATCACCACAAGCATATAAATGCAAGCACAGCACATCCACGATTTTGGAATATAACACAAATAAAATTACGGAATATAACACAAATACAATGACAATTAGCTCTAAAAAAAAAAAAAAAAACTAACAAACAATCAGAAGTAATGTCAATACGAAAAATGTGGTAGTATTTAAAAAAAAAAAACCTGGCCAACGAGGCTGGTATGATTACAGTTTTCCGATTCGTGAGGTGTTACCTGTTTTATTAGCTGTTACCTGTTTTATTAGCTGTTACCTGTTTTATTAGCTGTTACCTGTTTTATTAGCTGTTACCTGTTTTATTAGCTGTTACCAAGTCTATAAGGTGCTACAGGGTCTATAAAGTGTTACCTGGTCTATGAGGTGTTATCTGGTTTGCGAGGTGTTAATCAGAACTGTTGGGTTTTACTTTGTCTATGAGGTATTACCTGGTCTGTGAGGTGTTACCTGGTCTGTGAGGTGTTCACCTGGTCTGTGAGGTGTTAACCTGGTCTGTGAGGTGTTAACCTGGTCTGTGAGGTGTTAACCTGGTCTGTGAGGTGTTAACCTGGTCTGTGAGGTGTTAACCTGGTCTGTAAGATGTTACGTGGCCTATGAGATGTTAACTGTTCTATGAGGTGTTACCTGGCCTATAAGGCGTTACCTGGTCTATGAGGTGTTACCTGGTCTATGAGGTATTATCTGGTTTGGAGGTGTTACCTGGTTGTAAGGTGTTACCTGGTCTGTAAGGTGTTATCTGGTCTGTGAGGTGTTACCTGGTCTGTGAGGTGTTACCTGGTTTGTGAGGTGTTAACCTGGTCTGTAAGATGTTACGTGGCCTATGAGATGTTAACTGTTCTATGAGTCGTTACCTGGTCTATGAGGTATTATCTGGTTTGGGAGGTGTTACCTGGTCTGTGAGGTGTTACCTGGTCTATGAGGTGTTAACCTGGTCTGTGAGGTGTTAACCTGGTCTGTAAGATGTTACGTGGCCTATGAGATGTTAACTGTTCTATGAGGTGTTACCTGGCCTATAAGGCGTTACCTGGTCTATGAGGTATTATCTGGTTTGGAGGTGTTAACCTGGTCTGTAAGATGTTACGTGGCCTATGAGATGTTAACTGGTCTATGAGGTGTTACCTGGCCTATAAGGCGTTACCTGGTCTGAGAGGTGTTACCTGGTCTGTGAGGTGTTACCTGGTCTGTGAGGTGTTACCTGGTCTATGAGGTAAGGTGTTACCTGGTCTATGAGGTGAGGTGTTACCTGGTCCTTGAGGTGTTACTTGGTCTATGAAGTGAGGTGTTACCTGGTCTGTGAGGTTGACGAGTGGCTCCAGGTTTGTTAAGTTGTATAGGTCAGGTCTGAGACGATTCAAGGCATATGTACCCTCATCTTTGGTGGTTCCAGTCAGGATTTCACAGCGTTTGACATCTGTGGGGTTGGGGAGGACGAGAATAATAATTGCATGTGTCACCTGCACATCCTAGAGTGTCAACAAGAATGGTTGCGCTCTGCCAGAAAAATGTTTCTCCCCCCCCCCCCCCTCCCCCCCAAAAAAAAAAAAAAAAACATGTAAATTGTTGCTGATTTTTTTAAGTAGGATGACCTCAAGTAAGGGCCGGCTTAAGACTGTTTGATGCCGTAAGAACTTGGAAGATTTTGGTGCTCCACCCCCCTTCCCATCACACCCCTTCGCATACTCAGCCATCTTAACAGGATTATGTCCCCCTGACCAACTCCAGGACAAACACTCACGGGAATGAAATTTAAAAGGTCACTTGACACACAAAATAAGAAAACTCCACAGGGGAACATACACAGCAGGAGTCTACCGGTGATCTGTAGAAGATCCTCTGTCGACAGTTGTTTCAGCCGGTTACCATCCTAAACAATCTCGGAAGGTGGGCCAACCTGGGTCATGACTCCAGGCCCCAGTATCTCCGGCTGTGCTTAATCAGACATGTATGGACGGGACAAAGGTGATTCAACAGGTAGTGGAGTTCCTTTACTCGCGGGGCCACCGGCAAGTGCACAGCGAGCCCATGTGTTAAGACGGAACTGGTGCTCCATATACATGTAATTAAATATACATCATAGTAAACAATAAAACAAATTCCTCGTGTGGGTTCTGGGGCCCCATTGTTGGGAAAACCAGAATAGACACTGCCTACCCAAAAGCATGTATCAAGAGTCGACTAATTGGGTGTTTCCTTCGGAGTCGGAGTGCATCTGCTTGAGAGGCAATAAACCAACAGTCTGCATAAAAAATAATCAGATATGTCAAACGGATGCACATGCAGTACTCAGGTTTTAGAGTAGGACTTCAGTCCAAAAGTGGACGAACAACCAGAACTTTCCGCCGGAGTTTACAGCCTATCAACGTGAAGAAGAAGAAGAAGAAGAAGAAGAAGAAGAAGAAGAAGAAGAAGAAGAAGAAGAAGAAGAAGAAGAAGAAGAAGAAGAAGAAGAAGAAGAAGAAGAAGAAGAAGAAGAAGAAGAAGAAGAAGAAGAAGAAGAAGAAAACAAATTTTATTTATCGAAATTAAACAAAACTTACAGTAAGATGGAATTTATATTTTTGTTTACTTCCACAATATTTTTTATTTAAAAGTTGTCTACTATTGTGTTAATTTTAAAGTCTTGGATCAGATCCTCAAAAATAATTTTATGTAACACACTTGCTTCTATACATAACAGAGACGAGGCACTTAGCCTGTCTTGTTGCATAATTGTTCTGAAGGGATTTTTAAAATATACTTCAGCTGAGGAAAATAAACGTTCAGCTCCAAGGCTAGTGAACATTTCCGCGCTACCCCCTTCCCTTTGTGATGCCCTAAGCACGTTATTAGTGTTCTTGATGTTTAATCTGGTCCGGCTCCTAGTTAGAATTCTTACCTCCCGTCTGGAAAGATGTAATTGGATCCTGGGTCAGGAAATAACCATCGGTGACAGCGGTCATCACATAGGCAAAGTTGAGGGTCAGGATGAAGTGCACAGATGCAAGGTCTGAGGCGTTCACCTGGTGGTCGAGTTGAATGATTCATTTGGTTGAAAACAACAACTGAAACTATAGGAACAGCGAAACAGAGAAAAACACCAGCAGATTGTTTTGTTGAAAGTGCTAGGGCACCTTCTGATTCATCTTAGAAGCAATATGTTTCTCTCAATAAGACATACACGTACACACACACACACACACATTAACAAGCAGACACTCTGACACACATACACTTACACACACGCACACTAACAAATTCACTAACAAATATAAACGAACACAGCAAAGAAACTAACACACTAACAAATGCATACACATACTAAAAAAAGGTAATATACATATACAACAGACACTAACACAAATTCACACACACAAACGCGTGCGCATTAACATACACACACGCACAGACACACTAAAAAATACGCTAACATATACGCGCAAACTAGAAAATAAAACACACACTAACACATGGACACAAACTTGAAAAAACTAGCATACACATAACACAAACTATCATACATATACATACACACACAAACACTCACACACACACATACAAACATAAATAAACGTACCCGTCTGAGACAAGCCACAAGTGTGGTCGTGTTGTCAGAGCTACAGTTGAGTCTCCGGGCTAGTTCCAGGGCCGCTGCGGAAGCAGATTCTCGGCTCTGATGGTTGCTCAAAAAAGGGTTGCCACTCTATGGATGAAAGTAGACTGTATACACGCGTGTGTCCACGAACGGTATTTGTATAGGGAAAATTCATATTGGATGTATTGTTTTAGAATATGAGCGTGAATAACCTTACAAATTATTATTAACCACAAATTGGGAAATAATTTCGCTCACTGGTGACCCCATAGCAGAGAGCCTTAATCTTCCCTGACGGGTGTCCCTAGAGCGGAGAGCCTTAATCTTCCCTGACTGGTGTCCCCAGAGCAGAGATCCTTAATCTTCCCTGACTGGTGACCCCAGAGCAGAGATCCTTAATCTTCCCTGACTGGTGTCCCCATAGCAGAGAGCCATAATCTTCCCTGACTGGTGTCCTCATAGCAGAGAGCTTTAATCTTCCCTGACTGGTGACCCCAGAGCAGAGATCCTTAATCTTCCCTGACTGGTGTCCTCATAGCAGAGAGCCATAATCTTCCCTGACTGGTGTCCTCATAGCAGAGAGCCTTAATCTTCCCTGACTGGTGTCACCATAGCAGAGAGCCTTAATCTTTCCTGACGGGTGTCCCCATAGCAGAGAGCCTTAATCTTCCCTGACGGGTGTCCCCATAGCAGAGAGCCTTAATCTTCCTTGACTGGTGTCTCCATTGCAGAGAGCCTTAATCTTTCCTGACGGGTGTCCCCATAGCAGAAAGCCTTAATCTTCCCTGACTGGTGTTCCCATAGCAGAGAGCCGTAATCTTCACTGACTGGTGTCCCCATAGCAGAGAGCCTTAATCTTTCCTGACTGGTGTCCCCATAGCAGAGAGCCTTAATCTTTCCTGACGGGTGTCCCCATAGCAGAGAGCCTTAATCTTCCATGACTGGTGACCCCAGAGCAGAGATCCCTAATCTTTCCTGACGGGTGTCCCCATAGCAGAGAGCCTTAATCTTCCCTGACTGGTGTCCTCATAGCAGAGAGCCTTAATCTTCACTGACTGGTGTCCCCATAGCAGACAGCCTTAATCTTCCCTGACTGGTGACCTCATAGCGGAGAGCCTTAATCTTTCCTGACGGGTGTCCCCATAGCAGAGAGCCTTAATCTTCCATGACTGGTGACCCCAGAGCAGAGATCCCTAATCTTCCCTGACTGGGAACCCCATAGCAGAGAGCCTTAATCTTCCCTGACTGGTGTCCTCATAGCAGAGAGCCTTAATCTTCCCTGACTGGTGTCCTCATAGCAGACAGCCTTAATCTTCCCTGACTGGTGACCTCATAGCGGAGAGCCTTAATCTTTCCTGACTGGTGTCCCCATAGCAGAGAGCCCTACTCTTTCCTGACAGGTGTCCTCATTGCAGAGAGCCTTAATCTTCCCTGACTGGTGACTCCATAGCAGAGAGCCTTAATCTTCCCTGACTGGTGTCCTCATAGCAGACAGCCTTAATCTTCCCTGACTGGTGACCTCATAGCGGAGAGCCTTAATCTTTCCTGACTGGTGTCCCCATAGCAGAGAGCCCTACTCTTCCCTGACAGGTGTCCTCATAGCAGAGAGCCTTAATCTTCCCTGACTGGTGTCCTCATAGCAGAGAGCCTTAATCTTCCCTGACTGGTGTCCTCAGAACAGATAGCCTTTATCTTCCCTGGTCGGTGTTGCCAGAGTAGAGAGCTTTAATCTCCCCTGACTGGTGTCCTCATAGCAGAGAGCCTTAATCTTCTCTGACTTGTGCCCTCATAGCAGAGAGCTTTAATCTTCACTGACTGGTGTCCTCATAGCAGAGATCCTTAATCTTTCCTGACTGGTGTCCCCATAGTAGAGAGCCCTAATCTTCCCTGACTGGTGTCCCCATAGCAGAGAGCTTTAATCTCCCCTGACTGGTGTCCTTAGAGCAACCTACGGTAGAGAGCCTTAATCTTCACCGACTGGTGTTCCCAGACCTACCTACGGTAGAGAGCATTAATCTTCACCGACTGGTGTTCCCAGACCTACCTACGGTAGAGAGCCTTAATCTTCACTGACTGGTGTTCACAGAGCAGCCTACTGTAGACAGCTTCAAACTTCACCGAGATCAACGAAAGAACTAAACCTGGCAGAAGTAAAGTAAATATCCCTTTTCACGCCTTTATGCGTATCGGGCATATGGGAAGAACGCCTATATTTTACATACCATCAGCCCTCGGCGGGTAATGTGGTCAGCATTACGCCGGCTGTCTTTACTTTCCCAGGACAGCCCACCCTGGTACCCATTTTAGGCTGGGTTGACCTGCGACGCCCCATACCATGATAAAAATCCACGCAGCCAGCAGTCGGACTCGCAACGCCTAAGCCACGGAAGCCGCAAAACCTGGCAGAAGTGGAACTAAATTGAAATGTCTGGTGATAATGAATAAGGTTGCAAAACCAATAACAGATTTGTAACATCGTGCATTTGATGTTCATTTGTGTAAGAAGAAATGGCAATTCCCCCCCCCCCCACCCACCCCTCTCCCACCGCTCTGCCTCACTTTTATATTGTTAACGTTGAAATGTACGAATTCACGCACGAACACGAATGAATAACTGTATGCAAGGATTGGACTGGAAGGGCAGGACGTCTGACGGGCCTGCGTGCCCAATTCCCAACCCTTTGGGAAATTGTTTTGTATATCTAAGCTGAGGATAGCAATAAAGTCTTTGATGTGAGATTTCAAGTGATGGGACAAAATGGGCACCACCAGAGCGTCTTGACGGAGAAAGTTCCTGTAAACTGAGAGGCAATTTCGTACCGGCCACGTTACCTGGATGATGGCGTTCTTGAAATGACCCCGAGTCCGTGGGGAGACCAGGAATAGAGAGGTGGCCAAGCCGCCAGCGCTTTCGCCAAATATGGTGATGCTTGCAGGATCGCCTCTAAACTCTCTGATATTGTCCCGAACCCACATCAATGCCAAGGTCATGTCTAGTAGACCCATGTTCCCAGGAGCATCTTCGGTGTTCAAAGATAAAAAGCCAATTGCTCCGAGTCTAAGAAGACAAATCAGTTCGTGGATACACTAAACAGCAACTCATCTGTTCATTTTTACTTGTGTGTGGACTTTCGTGTGTGTTTGTAATTTGACATTTATGTGTGTGTGTGTGTGTGTGTGTATGTGTGTGTAGGCAATTTGACTTTATTGAGTGTGAGCAATTCGACTTGCATAGTGTTGGCAATTTGATTTGTGTGTATATGTGTGTGTGTGTGTGTGTGTGTGTGTGTGTGTGTGTGTGTAGGCGATTTGACTTCATTGAGTGTGGGCTATTCCACTTTATTGAGTGTGGACAAGTCTACTTTATCAAATGAGGACATTTAGACTTTATTGTATGAGGACATTTAGACTTTATTGTACGAGGACATTTAGACTTTATTGTATGAGGACATTTAGACTTTATTGTATGAGGACATTTAGACTTTATTGTATGAGGACATTTAGACTTTATTGTGTGAGGACATTTAGACTTTATTGTACGAGGACATTTAGACTTTATTGTATGAGGACATTTAGACTTTATTGTATGAGGACATTTAGACTTTATTGTATGAGGACATTTAGACTTTATTGTATGAGGACATTTAGACTTTATTGTACGAGGACATTTAGACTTTATTGTATGAGGACATTTAGACTTTATTGTATGGGGAAAATTCGACTTTATTGTGTGGTGGTTAACGTTCACATATTACACATAAAGTAAAATTTCAGAATAAATATCTTAGGTGAATCCTGCGAATATTTTGGCCTGACAAGATCACAAATACAGACCTAAAGACGAGTCTGTTGGATGCCCCATGACACTATAGCAAAGACAGCGGTTCAGTGGGTGGCAGATTTAAAAAAAAAAAAAGATGGAAATGAGCTAACGAAATCTGGACAAGGACAGTAGAAAGAGAAATAGAGAAATGTAAAATGGCATAGGATGCGACATGTAGAAAACAGCAGGCCAGCAGCAATGAAGATTTACCTGTAAATGTCTTACGTATCAACAGCGGTACGAACAGGGCTTAGAACAGACGGGGACGTGAACATATTTGGCTTAAACCTGCAACTGAGAAGCTATTAGGTTTTGATCAAAATTACGCGTGTGTGTGTGTGTGTGTGTGTGTGTGTGTGTGTGTGTGTAGTTTCTACATAGCTGACATCCATAGTTCCACATAGCTGACATTCATAGTTCCACATAGCTGACATTCATAGTTCCACATTATTGCTGACATTCTTAGTTCCACATAGCTGACATTCATAGTTCCACATAGCTGACATTCATAGTTTCACATAGCTGACATTCATAGTTCCACATAGCTGACATTCATAGTTCCACATTATTGCTGACATTCTTAGTTCCACATAGCTGACATTTATAGTTCCACATAGCTGACATTCATAGTTCCACATAGCTGACATTCATAGTTCCACATAGCTGACATTCATAGTTCCACATAGCTGACATTCATAGTTCCACATAGCTGACATTCATAGTTCCACATAGCTGACATTCATAGTTCCACATTATTGCTGACATTCATAGTTCCACATAGCTGACATTCATGGTTTCACATAGCTGACATTCTTAGTTCCACATAGCTGACATTCATAGTTCCACATAGCTGACATTCATAGTTCCACATTATTGCTGACATTCTTAGTTCCACAAAACTGACATTTATGGTTCCACATTGTTGACATTTATGGTTCCACATAGCTGACATTTATGGTTCCACATAGCTGACATTCATAGTTCCACATAGCTGACATTCATAGTTTCACATAGCTGACATTCATAGTTCCACATAGCTGACATTCATAGTTCCACATAGCTGACATTCATAGTTTCACATAGCTGACATTCATAGTTCCACATAGCTGACATTCATGGTTCCACATAGCTGACATTCATGGTTCCACATAGCTGACATTCATGGTTCCACATAGCTGACATTTATGGTTCCACATTGCTGACATTCATAGTTCCACATAACTGACATTCATGTTTCCACATAGCTGACATTCATGGTTCCACATAGCTGACATTCATGGTTCCACATAGCTGACATTTATGGTTCCACATTGCTGACATTCATAGTTCCACATAACTGATATTCATAGTTCCACATAGCTGACATTTATGGTTCCATATAGCTGACATTCATAGTTCCACATAGCTGACATTCATAGTTCCACATTGCTGTCATTCATGATTCCATATTGCTGACATTTATGGTTCCACATTGCTGACATTCATAGTTCCACATAGCTGACATTCATAGTTCCACATAGCTGACATTCATAGTTCCACATCATTGCTGACATTCTAAGTTCCACATAGCTGACATTCATAGTTCCACATAGCTGACATTCATAGTTCCACATAGCTGACATTCATAGTTCCACATAACCGACATTCATAGTTTCACATAGCTGACATTCATAGTTCAACATAGCTGACATTCATAGTTCCACATAGCTGACATTCATAGTTCCACATAGCTGACATTCATAGTTCCACATAGCTGACATTCATGGTTCAACATAGCTGACATTCATAGTTACTCATTATTGCTGACATTCTTAGTTCCACATAACTGACATTCATGGTTCCACATAGCTGACATTCATAGTTCCACATTATTGCTGACATTCTTAATTCCACATAACTGACATTCATTGTTCCACATAGCTGACATTCATAGTTCCACATTGTTGACATTCATAGTCCCACATAGCTGACATTCATAGTTCCACATAACTGACATTCATGGTTCCACGTAGCTGATATTCATAGTTCCACGTAGCTGATATTCATTGCTCGAAATAACTGGTATTCATGACTCCACATAGCTAGTATTCATGAGTCCACATAGCTGGAATTCATAAATCCACAAAGCTCGCATTCATGAGTTCACATAACTGGCATTCCTGAGTCCACATAGCTGACATTCATGAGTCCAGATAGCTGGCATTCATGAGTCCAAATAGCTGGTATTTATAAGTTCACATAGCTGGTATTGATGAGTTCACATTTCTGGTATTTATGGGTCCACATAGCTGGCATTTATGAGTTCACATAGCTGACATTTATGAGTTCACATAGCTGGCATTTATGAGTTCACATAGCTGGCATTTATGAGTTCACATAGTTGGAATTTATGAGTTCACATAACTGGCATTTATGGGTCCACATAGCTGGCATTTATGAGTTCACATAGCTGGCATTTATGAGTTCGCATAGCTGACATTTATGAGTTCACATAGCTGACATTTATGAGTCCACATAGCTGGCATTTTTGAGTTCACACAGCTGGCATTGGTGAGTCAACATAGCTGGCATTCATGAGTTCATATAGCTGGCATTCATGAGTTTACATAGCAGGTATTCATGAGTTCACATAGCTAGTATTCATGAGTTCACATAGCTAGTATTCATGAGTTCACATAGCTGGTATTCATGAGTTCACATAGCTAGTATTCATGAGTTCACATAGCTGATATTCATGAGTTCACATAGCTGGTATTCATGAGTTCACATAGCTGGTATTCATGAGTTCACATAGCTGGCATTCATGAGTTCACATAGCTGGTATTCATGAGTTCACATAGCTGGTATTCATGAGTTCACATAGCTGGTATTCATGAGTTCACATAGCTGGCATTAATGAGTTTATATAGCTGGCATTCACGAGTTTACATAGCTGGTATTCATGAGTTCACATAGCTGGTATTCATGAGTTCACATAGCTAGTATTCATGAGTTCACATAGCTGGTATTCATGAGTTCACATAGCTAGTATTCATGAGTCCACATAGCTGGTATTCATGAGTTCACATAGCTAGTATTCATGAGTTCACATAGATGGTATTCATGAGTTCACATAGCTGGCATTTAAAGCGACCTGTAATTCGGGAGACAACAACCACTCCCTAGCTGGCAGCCCAGCTGACATCATACCTGTAATTCAAGGAGACAACAATCACTCCCTCGTTGGCAGCTAGATTGGACCCATCGTAGGCTGGTTCTGTTGAAGATCCCAGCGTTAAACCTCCACCGTGAATCCACATCATCGTGGTCAGTTTGCCCTGTCCAGTTCCCACCCTGGGCCTCCATATGGTGAGATACAAGCAGTCTTCACTGAACTGAGTGCTAGGGTTCGGCACGAAGTCCTCTATGGGAACCTGTGTGACATAGGGTGAGATCGAGTTCTCTAACGTAATTAATTCTTCGACATTTGTATTAAAACCCAATGCATATTCGCCGAGAAATAAGTGAAACAATATTCTCTTTAACTGCACTGAAAAAAAAAAAAAAAAAACAACAACAACAACAACAACGTTGAAACGAAAAATTCCCATCAACATATTTCAGGCAACAAAATGATGGTAAATTATGAAATCTAATAAGGTCTACAGATATAACATGAAGTGTACTAAGTTTTCTATTCTGAAACATATTCAAAGATTTATTTATATAACAGGACAATTGTTGCTGTACTTTTTGGCGCACTGACGGAACGGTCGGGCACACCTAAATAAGCAGGACTGTATCGGTGAATACGGAAGGGGTCCTATTCACGTTTCCCTGCTCACATACACACTGGCTGACCTTTCATTCATACTTTCTCAGACTGTTCTACGACAAAGGGGTGTCACGTGTTATTGCTTTCAATTACATCAGCGCCGATGTCGCCTGTTCTATATAAACTACACGACGACACAGCTTTTAACGACCCCAGAACATCTAGAACTGGCCCTAACTCACCCCCCCCCCTCCCCGCCTCCCCCGCCCACAGCCCGTCTAGGTCACACGAGAGACTCTTTTTAAAATAAAATTAAAAAACAAACAAACAATAGAACGTGACACCCCTCTGACCTAGATCAGACTGGGAAAGTGTGTAGATGGGCCGGAAAACGTGAATAGGACCACGGAACGTATTGTCCCCCCACCAGTAACATCTATGTCATGATGACGACGGCGAGGAGTGTATGCTTAATTTCCTGTAATCCAAAACTATGAACAGCTCGCTGCTAAATATCTCACCCTGTCTCATATTCGTCTAGCCAGATCATTCTAACATGTCTTACTGTGGGAGAGTTGGTCTGAGATTAAACTTAAACACTTGTTCAGGGCAAATGGTAGACAAGTATAGAGAAACGAGAGTCGAATAATTTATATTCACCAACTTACCTGGACACAGGAGTTTGGAGGTGTGGTGGCCTGTAAAGTCCCAGACCAGGGGACTGCAGGTAGAGGACGTCTAAACCTCAGATCTCCGACAGGTGGCTGGGCGAAGGGGATTCCCTGGAAGATGTCTACCTGCACGTGTCCCCCATCTTTGACTGGGATGTTCTCTGAGCGACCTTGTACACAACCGTGAGTTGTGTTGACGATATTTCCATAGCGATAGTCACTCCTCAGCTCCGTGGAGTTGACGAGGGCTGCAGCAAACGTCCATACGAAGAAGACTGGTGCTCTCATCATTGTCATGTGATTCGTTACCCCTGAAGTGTCCTAGACTGCAGGCGGGAAACAGACCAGACACAATATACTGTCTACTGTAATATGTTTGTCTTTTGCTTTCCATAATGTTTGGTCTGTACAAAGAAGCATGTCTGGTCGTAATCCATCGTAATATATATATATATATATATATATATATATATATATATATATATATATATATATATATATATATATCCTTTACTTCACATATATACTTTACATGTATTCTTCACTTTAAATACGTTCTTTATTTTACTTTACATATATTTTCCCTTTAAATATATCTTTTTTTTTTTACATTTATCCTTAATTTTACATATATAGTGTACTTCACTTTACATATATCTTTTACTTTACGGTACATAACTCCTTTTCTTTACTATACATGTATCCTTTACCGTACATTATATTTATATCCATTACTTCACTTTAAACATATCCTTCACTTTAGTTTACTTATATCACCCAAATATATCCTTTACTTTACTTAACATACATCTTTTAAGTTCATCTCAATTCTCTTTATGCCTAGTGGCACATGAGGCTTCAGAAAGGACTGTCCATACTTTCCTGTCATGTGCAATCTTCAGTGCAGTTTACCATGTGAGAGATGTATGCCTCTTGATGTCTTGTCTGCTGTGTTCATTAGTATCTAATCAATCATAAGGTTCAAGAGGAGGTATGACATAACACAGCCCTGTCTTGCACAAGTCTTTACTGGGAAAGATGTGTTGTAATTTTTATACTGAAAGTAGAGTCTGTATAGAAGAGAGCAATTATGTTGACTATCTTTTCAGGAATTCCATAATGTCGTAATATTTTCCAGAGACTGTTTCTATGGACACTGTCAAAAGCTTTCTCAGAGTTGACACTTTTAATATATATACTTCTCTGCCATTCATTGCATTGTTCTAAAATATTTCGTAGGGTGAAGATGTGCTCAGTTGTTCCTCTGCCCTTTCTGAATCCTGCTTGTTCCACTCGTGGGCATTTATTTACTCCTTTTTTCAAGCCGCATTATAATGATTTTATAATTTGTATTAGCTCGGTACTGAGAGTAGAGTATTTCCCCTCCAATTATTGCAGTCTGGTAAGTCTCCTTTTTTGGGGGGATTTGGACTATTGTTCCTTCAGTCCAGTCATCAGTCAACACTTCTTTTTCCCAAATATCCTTGAACAATGGTTCTAAAACGCTAGCAGTTGTGTTGGGATCTACTTTGAGAAATTCTGCTGGCAGTTCGTCTTTGTCTGGTGCTTTGTTGTTCTTTAAAGTGTGGATAGCTAGCTTTAAGGATTTCTTGTTTGCTTGGTGGTTCAGTAATAATGTCAAAGTCCTGAGAAGTTGGGTGAATATTTGGGGGATGTTCAGGATTAGGTCTATTCAAGAGGTTAGAAAAGTGTTTAGTCCACTGAATGTTTTGTTTGTGTTTGTAATGATGTTATAAATAGGGATAATGTCAGGGGATGATTGGCATAACTGGGGAAGTCCCTGAGAGCATGTGTTTCACGGAGATATGGTGAAACGACAGGAAAGAGTGTGTCACGTGTGAATGAGGAGATCTGGGGGATTGAGAATCAGGCGGGCATTCGGTGACTGGGCCCCAGAGAGAAAGGATGGAAAATGAAGCTGTGAAGATGAATGGAGAATGACTAGAGCATGTGGATTTGAATCGGCGAGGAATGAATGATCGAGAAGGCCAGCTGTGAATGGTATCCTGTTTGATTGTCAAAGCCAGCTGTGAATATGTCAACGTCTATTGTCCGAATGCTGTAAGTGGATTCACCTGTGATTTGTGTATTGAGCTAACGTGTAAATAAACTCGTGAAATGTGCCGCTGGTGTTAACCGTTGTTAGACGTTGTGTGACCATGAAGAGGATCATGTCTGCGTTGATTGAGTTGTGAACCTCTAGATATTAGAGCCAGTGTTAACTCTGCACCACAGATAGTCAGTGTGGAGGAGACACAAAAGGGCAGTCATTACATTGGGGACCCGTCCTAAGTGCGAATACATTGTAAGTTATAAGTGTAAGTTACAGTGCAGGCATGTTATAACTATGCCAGTACATTAGACGTAGTGTTTTTGTGGACAGAAGTAAAATTTAGGCAAATACCGGCAGCCGTAAGTTTTGAGTGACTATGTGTGTTGGAAGATGGAGTTTAAAGAAATGTCGGGGTATTATGTAAGACCAGGACATGCTGTCAAGGGCATTAAGTAAAACCGGGACAACTGAATTCCAGACGCTAGTCATTCTGAAACAAACAAGCTAGCCTGAGAAAAATGGGCAGAAACACGGCGAAGCAATACTGGGTAATGTATTCACTTCACGTGTGAAAAAATTGTACACGTTTCATCCCGCGGGAACGCTTGTTCGTCGCTGGAAGAGACTGTAAGCTGAACTTTTGACCCTTGTGGTGGGTAATCCACGACGGAAAATTGTCAGCAACGGTATCCCTGTGACTGTTGTTTGACGTGGGTTTTGTTCGTCAAACAAGAAGTCATAAACCAGAGATACGAATTTTCGGACTAGATTTCACCGCAAGAACACTGCATGGCCAGGGGCCAAGACGGCACTCAGTTACAGCGAGCAAGGTCATCAACAACGGTCACGTACAACACAGTAGCAGATAAAACGTCATCAGCGACAGCTAACTCGAGGCAACCGTACAGCACACCAGCCACAAGTGAATGCCTCAGGTTAAGAATACTTGTCAATAAAAAAGAACGGGGTCCAGTCAGTACCAGCAGTAGTACTTTTACTACTAAATGTTTGTAATACGTCCGTATAGGTGAGTTCGTGTGTATTGTGTAGACAAGGAAGGAGTGGTGTTTATCAACATTAATTACGTCACGAAATGTTTACAATTTATAATGGATAGACAGTAAAAACAGTGATTAATGTGATAGACTATGACTATTCAGATTGTAGAGTAGAACTACATACATTCTTTGTAAGAAAAGAGTTTTAGTGAGAATCTAACATTTATCAACAGTTTGTGGTGACAATTAGTGAAATTAATATGCGCTAACTGTGAACATTTAGTGATCTGTGCCAACTGATCAACTTCAGGGTATAAAGACTTTTGGACATATTTGAATTATTGAATGAGCATAAACTAATAATAGTCTTTTAAGATCATCTGCAGACTTAGACCACGACAGAAGACAAGAGCAGTGTCCTACAAAGATCAGAAGAGCGTGTCCAGAGACAGTAAAGACGTGCAGTGGAGCATCAAGGGCCACAAACCTAATCCAGTCCATTCCAACAGCAGAAGAGCAAGGGAGCCATCACCAGGACCAAGGAAAAAGAATCAACTCATTTCATTGTTATATGTTTTTTGTGTGTTCTATTTTCAGGTTCTTTGATTGTGATATTCTATTATTCTATTTAAGTAAAATAGATAATTTTTGTTTATTTATCAGTAGAGTATAAAAATTAGTTAGGGTATATAATTAAATTTAAAATTTCAATTATTTAGTTTAAGAAGGGTATAAAATAAATAATACGGGATTTATCTTAAATTTAAACAGTTTCAAAAGTAATAAGTTACAGTAATCAGTTTTAAAATGTCAAACCTAGCAGAATACATAAATCTGGGAAAACAGTTAGGGTTATCAGGAGAGGAGTTAAGAAAATTTTGTGAAGGAAGAGAACAGGAAGATAAAGAATCACAAAGGGTTCAACAACAATTGGATCGTGAAGAAAGGGCCGCAGCACGCGCCCAGGAAGCAGAAGCACGTGCCCACGAGGCAGCACTGAAAGATAAACAGTTACAACATGAAGCAGCAATGAAACAACAGCAATTAGACCATGAGAAAGAAATCAAATTGCAAGAGTTAAAACTTGAACAAGAGCGGTTGGCAGCACAAATAGAGGCAGACAGACAAAAGGTTGAAGCACAAATAAGAACAAAAGAAATGGATAATGAATCCAAAGCAGAACTGGCAGCACAAAGGGAAAGAGCTAAAGAAGAAGAACATAAATTTACAAAATACAAAGGATTAATAAAGAATTTTGGTGAAAAGGATGACATTGGATCATGGATTTCAGCATTTTTACTACAAGTTCGGTTTCATAAAATTCCAAAAGAAGATTGGGCAATACTGTTCCAAAGACACCTTGGAGGAGAACCGTTAAAAATACTGGAGACAGTGCCAGAAAATTTACGACTTGATTTTGATTATATTAAAGACCGGATAATGAGACACTATGACCTACAAGAAGCAGGATACAGATTGCAATTTATTGATTTAAAACCAAAATCAACTCAAACATTTGTTGATTATATGTCCGAAGTTCAGACAACTTTTCAGAAATGGGTAGATTCAGCCAAAATTAACAACGACTATGATCTGTTAGTTGATTTACTATTAAGAAGTAAATTGCTAGAATCATTACCAAAACCTATGACCACATTTCTGAAGGAACACAAACCTACTTCGTTAAAACATCTTGAACAACTAGGAGAAAATTATTATGCAGCACATCGTGATATTTTTCTCATACCACAAAACACTGATATATACTCAGGAGCCAGTGCCGAAGGACAAAAGTCATATGAAACAGGATATAATAGATCAGCATAGCCGTCCAGAAGAAAATTTAATGGAGGAAGGAAAATAACAATAATAGATTGTGACATATGCAAAAAAAGGCACGGTAATGAAACCATATGCGACGCCAATCAATTGTATGAACAAGAAGTCAGAAAGAAAATTGAAAACAGGAGGAAAAAGGTAAAGAGATATGATAGCTCAAGTAAATGCTGGGCTTGTGGATTCTACGGGCACACGCGTCAATTTTGTAAATATAAGAAAGAATTTAAAGCAGCAGCAGTTTGTGAAACATCAGACTCCGAGTCAGAAAGTGATATATCAGAAACAAATGCAGCAGTGCTACTAGAAGAAGACAAATGCACAATATGTGAAACGTTTCAAGAATATGGAGACTTACCCTGTGGACATAAGATA